TCCTTTCAGGCTTGCTTTTGAAACCAATATCTTAACGGTTCCCCCTATTCCATCGCATGGTCCTTTTCCGTGCGATGTGGCAAAAAAGCCACTCTGCTTCCAAACCAAAGTCATTTTTGTGATATGCCAAATTAATAAAATTATATTTATTTTTATATTGTCCCCACATCCATAAGTAAAATATATTATTTTTTTATTTACGAAAAATTTAATTTTATGAAATTAAGTTCTTTAAGAAAAGTGTAAACAACTTGTTTAACATAATTCATTATTTTTATCTTTATAACACATAACAAAGGGATGTACATTGTACAGTGGCCAGACTATTTACCCAGTGAAAATTTTGTATTTCCTATTGTACAACGGAGGAGAAGGGAGGGAAGCAAATAGTTTTTTTAAGATGCATATTTTGCCTGGTCTTTTGAAATATACTGATGCTTCTATTGCTGATAATATTTCTTCAATGAAATCAGAAACTGGTAAATTAAAGGTAAGGAAATGACTAAATATTTATACACATATTTTTTTAAATGATAGGGACGCACTGTTTGAAAATTATCATTTACTCTTAGTTTTAAAAGAGTTTAAACTAGGTTCTTCGATATTTTGTAATAAAATATCACATTTCATCAGTTTTCGACACTTCTCATTCAGAAATTGTCCGACGGAGCACATTTTAAAACATGTAAAAATGTCAACATGTTAACATGTGCATATTTTTTAAATGTAAAAAAATATAGTTAGCAAGGCAATTTTTTTTTACAATTTTTAGTAGATATATATTGAGGAGAACATTCTGTTAAATCTTGAACAATTTTCGTTCAGTCCCTCTGGACGAAAAAATGCATTTTTTCGCCAAAAATGGCAAATCTTCATAATAAAAATGGTATTTCCTGAAATTTGGGTACTTTTTTATAATTTTGCATTTTATATTTTAATCCATATTAATAAGTACTTTAAATAAAAATATACACCAAATCAAATTTCCATAGCCTACTATATAATATCAATGGTAGAAAATTCACTTTTCAGTTAAAAGAAGCGTGAATTTAGCACTAAAAAAACTGCACTTCTAAAAATATTTGTATAATTTTAGGTATATATATTAAAAGTACATTGTTTTATGGTTAAAACAAAATATTAAGCGATAATAAATATTAATAAATAAAAAAGTTACAAAAGGATTTCTTGTAAACCGATTTGATAATATTTTATGCAAACCGGTCAACATGGCCTCGCCTAATTTCTCAGGGTGTTTAAATAAAAAAATATTATTGTGATTTTAGTTCATACCAAGCATTGATCTTCAAATCCTAAAACTTTTAGTAAAATCTTAGATGTCGAGCTTTTGCCATTAGATGAAATTTCATGGAATGACTCTGTGGTTTTTATATTTTATATTTTTATTCAGAATGAATTAGAAGTCAATTCAAGGCTGTCGAGTTATTTTAAAGATGTAATACGCTTTTTCGAAATATATGGTTAATATATGGATTTAGTCAAACGTGGACATATACATCCACAGACCAGCTAAAAGAAAAATACACAATAATTTTATTCATGATTATTGGAGACTAAAAGTGCCTGTGATGATAAGCATAAATTGGTTTAAATCGACTCACTCAAACATAGCCTTTTTAAACCATGAAATGGCTGAAAATAGTGATTTTTCGAAAACATGAATTTTTATTATATTTTTTTGAACTCTTGGCCAATATTATTTGAAAATGTTTTCATTGCTTTTATATAGAGTATCTATGGCAACAAACTACATTAAAAAAATTTGGCAAGTTGTTCTAAGAATCTAAGAATATGAATTTATAAAATTAGACAATTTTGACAAAAAATTGCATTTTTAAAAAAATTCCCAAAGACCATTTAGGGCATCAATAACTAAATGTGTCCTATATGGTTTAAAAGAGAAATAAAATTAGAGTATATGAGGTGCACTCATTGGTGGCTAATAAATGGATTTACCCATTTTTTAAAAGGCAAAATGCTTGAATGCAAAATTATCTGATTATTTTTATGCACGAGTGTAATTTGTTTAGATAATTACACGAATAAACTAATTAAATCAAAGAATAACATTTTCAAATATTGTTACACTATTTTTTACATTTTCATTAATTGATTCAAATGATTGTTTACCAAAACGTGTCAAAGTTGACACGATTCGACGTCACTATGCAGGAATAAAGAGGCAATTAACCGATTTTAATTTAAAGCTCGAATGTTATTCATAAGATTATTTTAAAAGCTATATCTTCAAAAGGATTTATGGCTCTATGAAACTCTTTGTACAATTTTTCCTGTAGCAATTTTGAGGTAACATTCCACATTGTCTTAATTACTCCTTCTTTATGGTCTGTACCGTTTATATTTTTCATATTAAATGCCCAATCCAGTAATATTTTAGCCAATTCACCTTCAGACGTGTTTTCCAGAATTTGGTAATTTTTTTAATTTACAAAACTCTTCAAATTGTCGCCATATGGATGCTTGGCTTTTCGTGGTATTAATTGGCCGATTATCCTTCACCGCCTGGTCGATATCTTGTAACTGTACAGCCCCAAAGCGACTCATTTTGGAATGAAATTCACGATATTCACTTAAACATCAAATCAATATTTTGACATATGTTAATTAATAAACTTAGCGACGAAACAATTAAAATCAACATGAAAAAGTGATATACGTCTAGATTATTTCTCGAATTAAAGGAAACTATTTGACCATTCATAAAATCTGACGAATGTGTCAAAGTTTATAAATATTTTTTTAAAGAAAATTCCATTAATTTAAGGTATGTAATAAGTAATAATTGATATTTCGTAAACTAGATAACTTATTTTTTTATTGTTTTTTAAAAAATGTTTTTTAAAACTTGTAAATAACACCATAAAATCGTAAACAAAAATCCAATATGAAGGCTAAAATTTAATCGCTGTTAAAAAGGTCTAGTGATTTAATCGCTTATTTAAACGAAATTTATTCGAAAATTCAAGGCTTTTGATTGGTTCATATTATATTGAGGGAAATAATCATATATTATATCACGAGAACTATGAATTTAATCGGTTAAACTAGGCTCAGTAGTTTTTTATTTGGTTTTTCTTGGAAAATGCTGAATGCAAAAAAATTTAATAAAATTGCGAGACCGCGTAGCGGTCGAGGGGTTTTATTTTTAATTATTTTGCATGAAACTATTTTCCAAAAAGAAAAATCAAATAAAAAACTGAGCATAGTTTGACAGATTAAATTTATAGGTTGAGTGATATACGTCTAGATTATTTCTCGAATTAAAGGAAACTATTTGACAATTCATAAAATCTGACGTATGTGTCAAAATTTATAAATATTTTTTTAAAGAAAATTCCATTAATTTAAGGTATGTAATAAGTAATAATTGATTTTTCGTAAACTAGATAACTTTGTTGTTAAAACTTGTTAATAACACCATAAAATCGTAAACAAAAATCCAATAAGGAGGCTAAAATTTAATCGCTGTTAAATAGTTCTAGTGATTTAATCGCTTATTTAAACAAAATTTATTCGAAAATTCAAGGCTTTTGATTGGTTCATATTATAATGAGGGAAATAATCACTAGTAATACCACTAGAGGTCAAATTATTTCCGGAAATTTTTTCGAGCTCATGAATATTTTGAAAATTATCCCGAGTCGAAGACGAGGGATAATCTTCTAAAAATATTCATGAGGGAGAGGGAACAAGGTGAACGTTTCCACCAAGATATCAAATAAATGGAGCGACATTATCAGGTATGATGGGATGAACACATAATGGCAGATTTTTGCTGATTGTTAAAAAGGGATGTTGCAGGTGAAAGCAAAAAAAGAAAGAGAAATCCACTCCGTCGAATGTTTGACGATAAAAGAACAAGGAAAATACGAACGAACTAATATCATGCAATTTTTTGTAAGCAATTGTGAGGAGCTGGATTAAAATTTTGATGACAGAAATGAACACGGTAACTCAGAAGACAGAAAGATATGAGCTTTCCCTGTACGAAAAAGGCCTGCATGAAACTTTTGCACAATTTTCTACGTTTTTCCCTAGGCTAGGGAAATTCTAAAGTAATGTGGAACATTTTTCACGTCAGATATGAATTCAGGAACTCAAAATACGAAAATATATAAGCTTTATTTGACTGAATAAATTATTATATAAACACACCTATTTGTAGAACATAATAAGCACAGTACAATAAGCATTTGCATTTCGTATTGTCTCCATGGCCACACTACGATACGCAAAAGAATTCATAATTTGAATTTTTCTTAAAATTTTGACACAAAATGGTATAAAGAACCCATGTCTCGCACTCGTCCAAATTGTCCTCGTGCGAAAAAATGACATTAAATCTTTAATATACTATTAAAAAACCCACAACGCTACTTAAAAACACCCCCAGAAGCAAGATATTGCCTGGTATGACCATACGCAGAAACGCTGCACACAATGCTGCGCAATGCGATATTGCAACAGCACGTGGTGCACAATAGTGTTGTCAGATTTTTTTAGCCTGGCGCACGGCCGATGGAAAAAGTCGCACAAAAGTCGCAACCTTGCCACAGGGAATTTTATTTTACAAATTCAATATTTCAAAACATAAATCATAATATCAGTTTTGTTATTATAAATGCTAGAATTATAATTTATTATTTTCTTACTTGGTTCAAAATATCTACAACAAATTCCCTGTGGCAAGTGAACGTTCTAAGAAACATTATTGAGTTTAACAATTTCCTTATTTTACATTTGACTATATTCATTATTGAGAATGTTCCTTTAGCAACGGAATTTGAAGAAGATTAACTTAAAATTGTAAATGCAAATAATGAAATATCATGAAACAAGTCTCCTGCTGCGTCTTTTATAGTCATTACTTTTGTATTTATTTTTATTGTGTAACTTTCAGCTAGATTTAATAAACCCTTATTTGGGATAATTGATAAAAATTAACAATTTATTTTCAGATGGGAGATTATTCCGTTTCACTGAAAGCCCCAGGTCGCAATAAACACTTTAGAGTTCATGTTGAAGGGGCCTTGTACTGTATAGGACAACGAAAGTTTCACACACTTGATCAGTTAGTTGACCATTACCAGCGAGCACCTATTTACACAAATAAACAAGGTGAAAAACTTTACTTAGTGCGTCCTCTGCCCAAGACAGTGAATGGTTAATTAATTGTTTAGTTCATAAACATAATTTTTTTAGTAGGTATATAATATGTATCCTTTGCGTGCGTATAATATTTTTTTATAACTGTAGTATATTTAAGGCTACATAGGATCTCACAAAATATTAGGTAATTATACAATTGCCAATTTAATCGAAATTTTTATATTTATTAAGGATGTAATCCTATAATTAAGTTCTAGAGCTATAATAATTGGAAGATGGACCTAAATAAATTATTTTAATGTGAATAAAATTATATTTTGTGAGTTCTTAAAAATTTTAGAACAAGTAACATGTATATCTGGTCATTTTATTTGTATATATTATTTTAGATCATATAACCTAGTTTTAAGCAACAGCTTTATTTCATGACATTAAAACTAAAACACCCACCCTACATCATAAATATTTTATACAGAGCGTTTTAAATTAATCTGATTTAATAAAATACATTATTTTTAAAAATAATAAAAATGCATTCCATTTATTTTTCTTCATAAAGCCAAAATAGATAATATTAATAATTGCCATGATTATAAATTACCATAAAATTAAAATGTACACCGGTGTTTGGAATACTTAATTATAGAAATTATGTATTTTTTTGTCATTTTGTGTGATATTTTTATTATTTCTTTTATGTTGATATTCAGTTATACACATTCTATTTATTAAATCATATCAACAATAATTAAAATTTGTAATATATTTAACTTTTTGGAAAAACTTAATAGGATATGACAAAATATTGGTGTGGACAGTTTTAAATAAGGATTGATTAACGAAGAGATGAAGTGTTTTTTTACAATTTTGTAAGCTGTAACTGTAAATTAAAAATGTGTATTGTAGTTAACCCTGTCTATATGTATGTATGGGTATGATTTTTACATTGCTGTATTAGGGTCATGTTTTAAAAGTACACTGTGATTAATGGATTTATCAGTTATACAAATTATACTGCTTGTCTTCGTAAGTACAAAAACTGTATCAGATTACACATACAAATATTTACATAGGTATATTCAGTACCAATTATTCAGGATGCAGTCAATATTTTATACATCACTTCAATTTGATCTTTAATATATTTGAATGTTATTTCTTCAAAATAGATATAAAGTTTTCTTATGGAATAGAGAACAATATGTAGGAACCTATTTAAATAATTAACATTGAGCCATATTAGATAAGACATGATTAGTAACAGTGACTTTTAGTAAATTTTAAGCCTATGATTGCTATGTGACAGAATCTGTCGTTAAAATTATAATAAACATGTGGTAAAATATACTTTATGTCCTAGAAGTATGTGCATTTCTAAATAAACTTACTTATAAAAATCCAATGCCTTTTATTTCTATCAAAATAAAATAGTAAAGAAAAAACATTTAGAATATTTAGTGTTTATTTTATATTACTTTTAAGCCATATTTTTTTCGTATTGCATTTTATAATTTATTTAAACAATATTTTATAAACATTTAATTAATCAAATCTATCTCCATCAGCTTCTGGTTCCATTATAGTATCTTGTCTAAACATTTCAACATCGGCTTGACTGTCAGCCTGTACTAATTTACCTCTAGCATTGGGCTTAAACAAATAATAAATAATTATAAAACATAATGTTTGTTATAAAATAAATACCTTGGGGTGCATCAAAACAAAAGGCAACTCAGCAGCCAGTTCGCCACCCAAAGCTCCCAAGTATAATTTAACTTTGACAGCATAAGAAACAATAATTCCAAAGGCGTCACGTTGATCTGGAGATGCTAATCTATAATTAAATTACGAGGTTTATGCATTGCATAATTTAAATCTGATAACTTACAAGGTTGTTGAAGCCAGATTAGTGTCCTGTTTTTTTAATTGTCCATCTAGGGCTATACCTCTTCTGTCTTTGTTAGACGAAAGCAATGGTAATAGGTACATTATTTTTTGAAGACTTGATCCTGGGTTTATTGGACACCCTTCTCTATTAAAATGACAAAGTATTATTGTAAATAATGTTGTTAATCACTAGAGACCGGACTATATGCAAATGCATACTGGCATATTATGCATTTTGGCTAATTTAAAGATAACCTGCTGCCAACATGCATAATATGCATATGGGTCACTCTACCAAATACAGTTTTTTGGGTACACCTCCGGTTTTTTTTAAATTTTGAAGTTATTTTCTACATCAAAATAATAATAATGACTGAAGATTTGACCTCCTAATATTAAGTACTTTCGTAGTAATTATTTTTCGAATTTTGAGGATATTTTTTGTTTAAAACTTGCTAATTTTGTTTTGGATGTAAATAATAAAAATTCAAACAGTACTGTTTTTTGTACAAAATTCTCAGCTTTTAACGAAAATATTCATTCTTTATTATAGTAATGGAAGACCTTAACAAATTAAATTATAGTAAAAAATGCGATTTTTCTGGCTTTGCGGCAATTTTTATTTCAAATTGATATTTTTTCTGGAAGGTCATATTTTTTTATATAAAATATGTAATTTTCACAATGCTTTTATTTTTTGTTTAAATACAATTAAATAATAAAGTAAATGCATGTCATTTCATTTATTAATAAAATTTACAGTGTAACCCTCAGGCACAATGAGAATTTTTCTAGTCGGATTTTAATTAATGATTTTGATAATTTTTATATTCGTGTTTGTTAGACTACCTACCTAACCTGTGGGATATTACGTTGTTGCTTGGAAAGCACTCGGTATTATTTAAATATCCACTAAATGTGTTCATTCACATAATTTTGTTTTTTATCGAAATATAAAAAAATATCCAGCTGGGACACCCTTTATTTAAGCGCCATAAAAATGCTATAGTGATACCAAATAAGAATCCGTTGTTACTTTTGCTTTGATAAAAAATCTAATAATACTTTTTAAAATTTTGAGTATGAGTAAAAGGAACGTATAAAAGGCCCCATCGGCATTGCCTTACACTGATTTTCCAGTTATTTTTACCATCTTTCAGTTCTCATAGGTATCCCGCAACTGCACTGCATTACCTGTGTTTGATGTATCCGAATTTTCACAACGGCTGGTAAATATCTCTTAGGAGGTGGTGGATGACACTTTCGATGGATAACGCCCCTCCCGGGCTGAACCATACGCTCGATTTAGGAGGGAAGTCAATATAGTTAGATTTTTGTATCGTTTGTGGAGCGAACAGATATACGTCTGACAGATACTAGTGATACTGTCGTTCTTTTTAAAATTTTTGTTATCAAAAAATTAAAAAATACCCAGCTGGGACACCCTGGATTTAAGAGAGATACAAACTGGTATAGTGGGGTTTTACGTATTTCCTTATAAAAATTCGTTGTTACTTTTGCTCTAAAAAGTCCCTTTTCGAAATTTCGACCCCAAAAAGAGATCACAAAAAAATTTTGGTGAAATGACCCATATAATAATCCGTTATTTTTCCAGTACGTTATTAGTTTAATAGTTAGGTACATTATTACAGTTTCGAATGCAGAAAGTATTTTGTTATGAGAAAAAAAACTGAAAGAAATGTCCCACTTTACCCATGTTTCCCAACAACAACCCTGGCTTTGAAACTTTATGTCAAATTAATAGTTTAATTAATGGCGCGGGTGAATTGAAGACAATATATGCGCATGTTCACCGGGGGTTTACAAAACCAAACCTTAAAAGGAATTATAATACTATTATTATTGCGATTATATTATTGCATATTTTTATACTTAACCTGCATAATTTCAGGCTTTTTATGTTGCTTTAAACATTCTTTAGTAACCATAAATGATTACATACAGGGACCTAAATATTGACGTGCTGGAGCATACCACATTCAGGGATTAATTTTGTTTATTTTTTAAATAAATAATAACCTCTTTTCGTTTTTTACTTTTAAAATACGAATTAAAAAAACAATGGACCAATTTTGACAAGTTCTTTATTAAGTTAAAGAAAAAACTTTTTTTAATAATATTTTCCAAATATTGCCCATTTCTCTCCTGGGCTCTAAAATTTGAAATCACGGTCCTACAAGTTTGCTCAGTTATGGCCTCTATTTCTGCCCAAATATTATAGACCAGGGTCGATAATTTTTGAAACCAAAAAAAATAACAGTAGGATGAAACCCATTGGAAAAGAAGAAGAATATAATAAAAATTAAAGGAAAAATAAATTACGGGCGATCTGACTTCGGGAAGTGGGAGGGGGGGGGTTTTAATGGTAAAAAATGGTTTATCTCGATTTCCGGCAAAACTACAAGTCCTATGGAAAAAAGTTAAATGGCAAAGTTGTAGGTAATAAAAAGATCTACAACTTTTGTAATTACAATTTTTTTACATAACCTCAAAATTTATGTGAAAAATTCAAAAAAACAAGTTTTTGGTTTTTTATTTTTATCTTTTTCAAAAAAAAAAAAAATTTCCACGAAATTTGGTGAAAACTTACCTTTTTATGTCCCAAATACACTGTAATTTATTTGATTTGAAATATTTATTATTTCGCCTTATTTTGACTTAATATCAAAAAAGCACCCTAATTTTCAATCGAAAATTCTCGCGTCAAAATATCAGCTTTTTTCAAAAAGTCGGTGTGCTTTTTGTTCGTTGAAATCTCTACTTTCTGATGGTGTAAAAAAAATATACATTACTGTGGTAAATGTTCTCAGAAAATGCAAAAAATATTATAATGAATAACGAAAAAAACTCGAATTCGAAAATTTATTTTAATCATTATGTACAATTTCATCAAAAAAATGTGATTGTTGCAATTTTTTTTAGTTAAAAAGTTTATTTATTAAATTCTAATAACATTTATGTTATATCGGCCTAAACGGCATATATCAAGGACAATACGCAGTTTGATGGAAATATTCCATTGCTGACTTTTATTTTGTATAAAGACTTATTGTTTTCATTATTATTATATTTGTTTAATAACAAATTTCAATAGAACCTTTATTTTAAGTTATTTCAGTTTCATGTTAGTTTAATCTTAATTATAATCCTTGAATTTAATATAGTTCCTAAAACATATAAATAGGACTGTCTAGTTACATTCTGTATTCATTATATTTTATATCTTATTAAGTTAACTTCAATTTAATTTCTTGTAGAAAAGTTATTTAATAAAGTAAATGTTGTTTTTTTAAAAAGTGCATTTTAATCTATCACATTTAACAAATTGGCGCAGTCGGTAGGATGGTCCAACAGCATTTTTGAAATATTTCGAAAAATTTGAAGAAAGAAAAACACTCTGAAGAATTTCGCTGGTGTATTTCCAATACTTTGTGGATCATCAAGAACTATGCAACAATCGTAAGTCCTTTTATACTTTCCTTTTCCTAATATTTTGTAATCAATCTGGTTAAATTTGTGTTTTTTATTATTTAATTAATTAATAACAATGTCTCAACACGGTAATGAACCTGATAACGGTATTGCTGGTGCCAATGCCAATGTTAATCCTAATAATGCTGCGTTAGGATTTAAATTATCTGAACTATTTTGTTTGATTCCCGAGTATGACGGAGATAAAATATTGTTAAATTCGTTTTTAACTTCTTGCGAAAAAGCGCTGGATATTGCAAACGATAATCAAAAAGGTCTTGTCTTAGTTAATATTAAAAATAAACTTCGTGGTAGGGCTTCTCAGATAATAAATTCAAGAAACCTTAACACTTTCAATGAAATTCAAGTTTTGCTCCAAACACATTTTGGCGATTCGCGTGACTTAAATTCTTTAATAAATGATCTTCATCGAATGAGACAGTTGCCTAATGACACACCTTTAACTTTCGCAAATAAAATTTCTACATTTAGTTCTAAATTACATGCTTCAATAAATTCTCAAAATATTTTAGAAGCGCAAAAACAGAGTCAGAGAGACATGATTGATAACATGTGTCTTGATACTCTTCTTACAGGTCTAAATCATAAAATAGCTCCAATAATCCGTGCATCTAATCCCAACAACTTATACGAAGCAACCATTCGTATTAAACGTGAATTACAATTAACTTATTTTGAAGAAAACAAAAGGTATCAAAATTATTCTCAGTCCTCAAATTTTAATAGAAATGACAATTTTAATCGTTCTAATAATTTTAACAGAAATAATAATTTTAATCATTCTAATAATCTTTCAAGGAACAATAATTTTAATCCAAATAAAAATTTTAATAATAAAAATACCTTCCCATTAAATAAAAATCAAAGCTTTAACGATTACTGGGAAGAAAATTTCTTTAAGCCAGGGTTTTTGCATAATGAAATTAAAAGAGCAACACGAAACTATGTACCTGAACCAGTAAACCGGAATTTTAACCGATCAAAAACTTGTTCATATTGTAATAAAATTGGTCATATTAGAGCCGATTGTTTTAAATTAAAGAGGGAAGCTAATAATAATAATTTAAACTTCAAACGAGGGGAGAACGTGGGCAAATCTACCCCGACGACAAACGCCCTTTACGAGAATCCAAAGCCTTCAACTTCAAAAGAAAAGACTCAATTTTAAACTTTAATAATGTTTACACTAATTTCTCGAATAATTTTAAAAATAATGACTTGGAAGAAAATATATCTTGTCCATCTATTGATGAGACTGATTTTATTAATTATAATAATTTTAATGATTCTAATAAGACACTGTATACGTCGGTTGACGATACTTTGTATGCATCTGTTGATGGTACTTGTCTTAAAGATAAAAATATTAAGTCAGTGGTTGCTACGAAGCGCACTGAAAATATTTGTAATAATGCTAATAATGCTAATATTGATTATAATAAAGTTATTGAAACTATAGTTTATATATGTTTAATTCTTCCAATGTTCATAAGAAAAATAATGATACAAATGTTAATAAAATATATAATTCAGATGATGCTACGAAGCACACTGTATATAAAGATAAAAATGAGAAATTAAGTATAAATAAAAAGTTTAATATTCGTGAAAGTAACTTGTTAACCATTAACG